AGCTAATCCAGCACCTCGTCCAGCCATTGATTCCTAGTAATCAAATCAAATTCAACTAAGTTATCAGGAAATCATCATTGATATTAAATCATGGTAATTTCCTACATATAATTTCCCACAAAGAGTGCACAAAAGCCTAAGTAGACCTTTCCCCAGGCCTAAAGGGTCAAACTGCTCTGATACCACTATTGTAACACCCTACCTTATAAACCCTCAATAAGAAGAATTAATAATTTTTGTTAGCATAAATTTTTTTTTTTTAACCGATAATAATCTTTCCCTTGTACATAATATTAATATACATAAATTTTCAATAATACATTCCTGCATTTCATCATTTTAAAAAGTACTAAAAGTAAACATTCATAATTACATATAAATAAAATATTAGTACAGTCTTCCAAAATATTAAGGCAACATTGGGGATACTTCCTACAGAGCAGTTAACTACACAAAAGAGTAACTACTACTCACTACCCTGTAGGTCTATATACTATAAAAGATTATCTATAAAAGTTTGGATATATTTATCCTAATACATGTTGCCATCATTGTGGCTCCCGGCTAATGAGTATGAGTAACATACTCCTCGGTTCGGAATCTGTGTCATCTCCCCTCTCTTCAAACAATGACCGATCGAGTCCAACGAGTACCGCAAGCACAAAGAAATAAAGAAAACGAGAAAGACAAGAGGGTGAGCAACAGTTCATACATCATTTTAAAATCAACATCATAAACATTCACAAGTCAATCAAATTCCAAATGATTGATGTTAATGATGCATGATCCTAATATGTTTTCTAAAATGTTTATGCATGCGGGCCGAATCATTTCTCAAATCGATGCTGGGGTAGCCGGGAGTTGAAACTACTAGGCATGGAAAATCCACCCACGGGATTGTTGAGACCCATGCTCAAATATAAACCCAGTAGCTCACCGACCATTGATATACGGTAAGAGCACGATCGGGTATAGCGAGTTTGTACGGTGGGATCCCCGACAACAGGTAGCGAGCACTGGGTCTTTTGGGGCCTCCAACCACTACCCTTCCTATCCTCAAGTCCTCCCTCGGGGCCTCCCTATCGTATTCTCGAGTCCATAATCTCCGATTCCCAGATTTCACAAATCACCATTTTCAAATGAGTAATGTATGAGTCCCTAAGTGGTTTTTCTTAGAAATTCACATTTTTCCAAAAATTTGACAGAGTTTCCCCTGTAATACAGACTTCCCAAAAATTTCCAATCACCTGTTACAAGCAGAAAACTTCCAATACAGTTCAAAAAGGGTTCACAACCCATCATCCAATTCTCTCAATTAAATTTTCAATGAACTTTCTCATGAAAAACCACCATGCATATAAATGCTCACTCAAAGACCATACATATCATAATAGAGTACTAAGCATATATTTTACACCATCATACACGTAAGCAATTCATGATCACTTTCACAACCAAGCATATAATAAAATCAAAATGATCAATCATAACAATTTAGACAAATTCAACAAATAAGGTCAAACAAGTTTATGATGTAATCCTTACTATATAGCCCACCCCTTACCTGATACGTTCACACTTATTCCTTTCAAAGCTTGATGTTGTGTTTCAGCAAAATCTATTAGAGCTTCTCAAGAAAAACAAGATTTCTCCCTCAAAATGACGCTTGAAGGTAAGAAAACGTTTGAGAGAAAGAGAGAAATGAGGAACTAGGTTACTGATTACAGAATAATGACACTCTGTCCTTTTAAAGTCAATATTTCACCTAATAATCCGCTCAGCGCATTTATGATGCGCCCAGCGGATTACAGGCCGCAAGTAAGCAAGAGAATTCGAACCACAATCCGCTCAGCGCATTTCTGATGCGCCCAGCGGATCCCAAAACTCTCTGTTTTTAATCGATTAGAAGACCCGTTGATCGATTAACAGACATAATCCGCTCAGCGGATTATATTACAAAAAAAATCATCTTTATGTAGTCCTGCCAGGATTTGAACCCACAACCCCTAAGACTCAAACATCACTCCAAACCATATCAACCATCATATATTTCTTATCAATTTATACACATAATAAACTTTTAATGTATCCACACTCAATGCATACAAGAAAACAATAATTTCTAAATGTGATAATTAAAATTGTTAATTCCATACTCTTTCAATTTCAACCCTAAATCATATAATTATTATCGAGGCGTCCAGTTGCCATGAAACGGATCAATTTTAAGTATTTTCTAAAAATTCGAGAAAAATTCTAGAAAAACACAAATAATCTAACAAACATCAAACTCTACAGTTTCTTCACCCAATTCTTAATAATTTAATTATTAAAAGTTTGACAAAGATTTTGTCAAAATTTAACAAACCAGGGGTATTGAGAATCAGGATGTTACAATTGCTATGTATCTCCCTTTTTAATTGGAAACTTCATAGTCATCTGTGGTAGTTAATTTAACATTTTTTATCTTATCAACACATTGTAAGAAATGTCAGCTTCTATCAGTGTATACCTTAGAATGGATTTTTTATTTTTTCCACCAGTTCTGAAAGTAGTTAATAGATCAACATAGCCACATGTGTGATCTCGTTCACTAGTGGATCAGGATAGGCTGAATTGAGTTGTGTATGGCTCGGGTTGTTTGATGAGCTTCAAATTACATGCTTCTCATAAGACTGTTTCAATGCTGACATTGAAAGTAGTAAACTTTCTTTCTTCTCTCTTTCTTCTCATTTGTATCTTTTTTTTTTTAGTTGTATTTGTGAGATGGGGCTTCCTTCTCCAATAATTCTCTTTTCTTTATGATTTCAATACCTTCCTCCAACTGTATGAATCTAACAAATTGAATTTTAACTTCTTCTATTGATTATGGATAATCCATGTATATGCTATCAAAAAGTGGTCCTCACCTTAGACTAGATATTAAGGAATGAATAATCAAATCTAAGGAAATATGACCTAAAGTGAGGCTAACTTCATTGAGTCTTTCCATAAATTCCCTCAAAGTCTCAACCTTTTCTTATCTTTGTCCTTGCAATGTGAGAGAGGCTGGTTGATGTGGTCTTGCGCCTACAAAACTAGCTCAGAATTTCTGAGTTAGCACATCAAGTGAATCTATTGATCTAGTAGGAAGATTATAGAACCATTTAAGAGTTGTACCACTCAATGTCATGGGAAAGCTTTGCAAAGGAGGGCATCATTCTCTCCAAATACAGTGATTTGATTTAAGTAGGATCAGATATGCTCGAATGGATCTTATCATCCTCCAAATCTCTCCATGATGGGTGATTTCCATACGCTTGATAAAGATTCTGCCAGTACTCCTGAGGTGAATGGTCTCCTTAACTTCATTCTAAATTTTCCCAAGATATGGTAAGTTTATGATTTCTTTATGCTCGGTCTTGAATCAACTTCAATTTGAACATCTCTTCGGTTGAATTCTTATTCCGTGTGCGCATCCTCTTCATGTGGTGGTGATTGGTTCCACTACTAAGATTGATATCTAGATGAAATATAATATCTTGGAAGATATCTATCTAAGGCTCATAATTACCTTTCTACTTTTGTATTTTGTTTTATGAAAGACTTCAATTCTTTCTATTGCCTATACTTTATTAGATTGAGTTTTTCATCGTTTTTCTTCTCTATCTCCTCCTCCATATAGAATTTTAGAATGTTGACGATATCTTTTGCATTTATGATTGCTCAACTTTTTGTGATTATTAAGTGTAGCTTAATATATATTTCACTGAGCCTCATGGTGAATACAAAATATTATTATCAAAAAAATAATAAAAAAAAATAATGAATAAAATATCTCAAACAAATAAATCTTGATTATGAATGATCTGGTTCAAGCTCTACTAAATAAAATAAAAAATGTCTGCTTACAAAAAATTCTGATGCTTAAGTCAGTATTTGAATATTAGATCATATGACAATACACAATAAAATAGTATAGTTTATAAACTTCTTGCTAACATTATTATTTTAAATAATAAATTATATATGTTAATGATAGTTATTATGTATTTGATATAATTATTTTATGCATTATTGATATAATATACATTTAATAAAATTATTTTAAAGGAATATTTCTCTTAAGATGATCAATCTAATAATTTGGGAAGGTATATATATATATATATATATATATATATATATATATATATATATATATATATATATATATATATATATATATAATTTGTGAATACTTTCTACTGTTTTTTTGTTGAAGTTCGGGAATTGATATTGCTGTGACATACACCAACATTCGAATATTTGTACACTGCTCCAAATGACGATAACTAACCACACAAGTTCCATGGTCATACAAAAATTGAATAAGCGAGTTCTCAAATAATTCATTGAACAAACTCGAAACCATTTACTTGATAATAAAATATATCTTATATGGTTAAGTTTGAATGGAAAACCTCCAGCCAAAACTACATTTTTATTTTTTTCCAAAATTCGAGTTCTATAACTTCATCCAGTGAATAAGGAGATTAACAGCATACAGAACATTTTTCCTCTAAACCAAGATATCAAGATTGAGACATTTTTTTACTCAGTGCAATATAGTGTACAATTAGTCACATTTGGAACTATGGCCAGAATAATTTCATGAAAAACACCATACAATCCTCAACAATTTGAAAAAGGATTAAACAACTAATAAGTTTATAAAACACCTAAATTTTAATATCACCACTGTGTTTCCTTTTCTTCTTAGCCAAACCCGCAACTGGATATTCTAGCTTGTCTCCCTTATCATCACATATCCTATTTTTGTTCTGCTCCAACTTCCCCCTTCGGCATGTAATGTATTCACCCTTCCTTTCTTGTATTTCTTTCTCTTCTTGATTTGTGAGTCCAGGGTACCACCAAGCCCTCCATTTTCACCATCTATATCGTTGCATAATTCTTTTGCTATCTCTTTCTGTTGTTCTGTTCCATTTCCATTCTCACCTCCTAAATTCTCAACCCTATCGTTATAACTTGCATTTCTTTGCACTTTTATGTTTCCTTCCCTCTTCCATCCCGGGGTTGAAATTGCCTTCATTACCCCGTTCTTTGCCTGACTCAATTTCATTTTGTGCTCCATTAGGTAGCTCACTGTCATCTTTCATATCTCTTAATTTAACAACGCTATGTCCGTTTTGCAGGTATCCAACTTCCTGCTTCTCCTTTTTCTTCTTCTTATGCATCTCACTCTCACCCGCATTTTCTATCTGATACCCAATTGAACCCTTACGTTTTTTACTACATTTTGTAATTGTCTGAGTTGATTTTTCATCATCCAGACCAGCATTTCCATTGTCAGTCTGCTGCCTTCTCAACTCTACATGTCCAAGGCTGAGCTCCTGGTTAATATCAACACTCCTAATAGAATTTTCCACTACCCTCCCACTATCAGTACCAGTCTCTCTTTTGTGTCTTTTGTGCTTCTTATGAGAGTGCGACGACTTGAGCTCCTTGTGAATCTGGTTGAGCTCGCTGAAAGATGCAGAAGCCCGATGGAGATATGCATTGATGATATGTGAAGTACCATTGTCGGCAGAGACAAACTTTGAGAGAATTTTTGCAGCTTTTGAAAGTGATACATCTTTCACCGAGACACATTGCCCAGAAATTGTCTTCATCTTCCTCCCCTTTGATTATCACAAGTATACCTAAATTTTAAAAGAAAAGAAAAGGGTGGGGAGATTAGCAGGGCACATTCTAACAAAACACTTAAAATCATAATTTCAAAATTCACTTGAAGCATTTGACAAATAAACCTCAAAAAGTTTCCTACATTGGCCTGCTTTGAGGCAAAGGATGCTCTCTAACATGTTAAATGACAATATGGTAAAAAATCAGGAAAAAAAAACGTATAAACTACAGAGCTAGATATGAAATAATGCTTAGAAGTGATCTATATAAATTAACTACAAGGGTATATATTCTTTCCAAAATTTTTTTAAATCTGAACAAGTAAAACTACTTTTTATTTAGATTAAATTCAGTATTGTGTTCAAACTAATCAAAATCCTTTGAAACCGAACCATAAACAACTTTTTTCATTATAAACCAATCCATTTACCCTAGTAATATATATATATTAATATTGAAAGAATTGGAAAAGAAAAAGGATCTACGTTTCTCTTGATTGTAGAGTGGTGTTGCTTGCTGAAATATGAGTAAAAGTTCCCATCTTGTTGTCTTGGGAGTTTTGTGGTTTTTGAAGAGGATTGTTATTCTGTTTTCATTTCATATGTAGTCGGGGTGAAATCTTGAATGTGTCTTTTGTTTGTGAGGTTAGTGTTGAAAATTGGGGGTTGTTATTTAAAACTTCGATGGCTTTGCATTTGGCATCTCCGAATTTGCACTCATGGCTTGATTTTGTGAGGTACTGTCTGTGTATGACAGTTTTATCGCATTTAGTCCTTTTAAAGGATATTAGGCGTGAGAGTGTAAATTTTGGTTGAGGGAAGACCAGAATGACATTTCCTACTGGATTCTAAACTGATATTTGACCATGATTTCAGAAAATTTTCTCTTCTAGTCAAGTAGTAGCTGTTAATTGACATTCAAACCCCATTTAATATTTTCTAGAAGCCAAAAATAAAATGTGCTATTATGTCTGCATGATTGTGTAGAAACAGGGGAAAAAATCTGGGATGGATGGAATTTGGATTGCTATACTAATGTCAGCATTTAAGCCTTACATTCCATAGCACTTAGAGAAAAACAATTTACTGGTGTTTTTGCATGGATTGGTGACTACAGTTCAAACTAATCAAAATCCACTGAGGTACCTATACCCACACATGCCACAATTCCAAACAAATAATGCACCATGAATACATATGTCTTTGATCCAAAATATCCTACACGTTGCTAAGACTAATTGGAGTCTACATAACATTAATGCTGCTTGTTATCAACCAGAACAATATACCTACTATATGGTCGCATACTGTTTCTTCCCAGCCATAATTGGGTCAAAAAGAATAAGACTGAGAAAGGCTCTGTTGTTGAATTGGCTAAAAAAGACAAGACTACATATAGGACCTGATGTTAAAATTGGCTAAAACAGAACAAGACTAAAATGATAGCCACTTAGTATTCTGGAAATGGGAAAAAATATCCCACCATGAACTGAGATCGCAGCTCATAATGAAAGGTATTGAAGGCAACAGTCAACAATAACTGCACTAAGCACCTCTTTCTATTATCCCTGTTTTGACAGCACACCCTATCCCTCCCACAAAACTCTATTTATGATAGTGATTTCTGCCCATGTTATTTATGAAAGTGATTTCTACATACAGTTTTTATAAAATTTAAGTCATTCCTTAAATTGATCTCTATTTTTTTAGCAAAGACATAATATATTAAAGAAAGACAGGAACAAGAGGTACTTGAACTCTATTACAAAAAGCATCAATCGTCAAAACAGAAAAATTTAGGAACCCTTCCCAAGCACGATATCCTACATTAACATTTGAAAACTGAAGCACAAAAATAACCCAAACTTAAAGTCCAAGGCTAACTACCTATAGGACCTGATCCTATAAACTAAAAGCAAAATAGTCAAAACCCCTGCATAAGTTTCAAATACAAAAATAATAACCATATGCTCTTAATACACCCTATCGTAACATCTAACCGAAGTTCCTTTGTAAGCCTTCCAGCACCTTCTCTACGCACAACAGATTGACTAATACCTTCCTCACACATCAGAAATTGCATACTGTTTGAGCTTGTTGCTATCAATCCATAATTCGCATCTCCATAATTCCCTACCCAAGCATATTAGCTCCCACATAAACACTCTTGCCTTTGTTAAATATCCATTAATTACTTTCCGCAAACAAACATATTCATATTCAGAAAGCTATAAGAGATTTACATCTGTCAAGCATATATTTACAAACAAAGACTTGGTTGAGAAAAAACAAACTGACTACATGAGAATGACTCTGTACATTAATCAATCGGCCAGATTATGCATCAAAAATGCCAAATCGTAAAGGAAAAACCAAACACACAAAATGTCTAACCTTAGAGAAAACACCATGAATGGACGAACTCACCGAAAAATCCAGAATGTTTCACACGAAGAAATCCTCGAGCAAAAGCGAGAGCGAATAACAAATACAATGACTGAGATTGATCAAAGCAACATTGCGTGAGTGATCGAAGATGGAGATCGCGTGATATAAGGCAAAAATAAGATAGAAGAGAAGAGAAAAAAAGGAAAGATCTCGTACCTTGAACTGTTTCCTACTACTGCAACCACTGAACGGTGGTAGCAAAGACGTCGGCGAGCAAACAGCGACAGCGACGAATGAACGGCGACGATAGTGGCGAGCAAATGCACAGATGAGTTAGAATGACGAAGGAGATGAGAATTCGTTAGGGTTTAGCGTTGGGACGTCAGAATAAAAATTTGTGTTAGGGTTTTTTTCTTCATTAAATTAAAAAAATATATTAATATTAATATTAATTAATATTATATCTTCATAGAAATTTGTGTTAGGGTGCGGGTTAGCGTTGGGACGTGAGAATAAAAATTTGAATTGGGGATTGGGGAAAAATTTGATTGAAGTATGGATACGGATTGAAATTAGATGTGAATAATAAACATTTTTTTAATTTTAATATATTATCTTTAAATATAAGTAATTTGTTTTAACTTAATATTTTTATAATTTAATGAATTTTTTAATAAGTTTAATCTTTCTACTTTAATGAAAAATTATTATAAATCTATTTACTAGATTATAAATACAAGAACCAATCATAGCATGTAAGGTTTCTCAAGAATTCCACTAATTAATAACTTCATTCTAAAAATAAATAAAAAATTTACAAAAGTAGAACTTTATGGATCTTTTAGCTTTGTGGGACATGAAAAAAATGTCTTTCTTTTACAGATAAAACATTTTTTACTGTGATTTACCTCTAAACTTACATCTGAGCAGGGTTTTTGCATTAAGAACAAAGTTCTACAACCCACTTCACAAAATTATTAAAATCAATCATTAACTTTTTTTTATAATTTTTTTATTATTAATATTATCCACCTTCGTCTAAAATAATATTAAAAAAAAATAAAATGATCAAATAATTTTTAATTATTTTAAAAAAAATCTCTATAATAATTTTTAAAAATAAAAATAAAATAAAATCAAACAAATCTTTATGCTCTTGCGTTATAATAAAAAAATAGAAAATTTATTATCAAGCAAAATATTATTATTATTATTATTATTATTATTATTATTTCATCAGGAATAATATATTAACTTTGCATATTTTTGTGTACAATATAAAATTTAAAATATCAAATTTTTAGATTTTTTTTACGTATTTAAAATTATCAAGATATTAGATTTTTTGACAAATTTTATATGTTTAAAAATTATTATAATTAAATATTAATCCTCATAGATAACCACGTGATATTCATGTAAATCTATATATATATATATATATATATATATATATATATATATATATATATAATGTTTTAATTGATATTTTAATAGTAATAACTATGTTTTGCAATATTATATTTTAATAAAATGAACTTTTAAAAATATTCTGAATTATTAATAAAACGAAATTTATCATATTCAATATATTGAAATTTAAGTCTACATTATAAAATTATTTATACTTCATTGAAATTGATTACATTATTGATATTGTTAAATGATATATTTCATCCATTTTAAATAAGTATAATTTTAATATTATATATATATATATATATATATATATATTTTAATAAATAACTCTACTAAAACTAACAAATATTTTAGTATGAATTTTTCTAATTGGAATTAGGAATTAAAAAAGAAAACAAATTATTTATGTGATCATCAATATATAATATTTAAAAGAAAGTGCAGTGGTAAAGATAAAATTAGATAATATAATATATATTTTATATTTAAAAATAACAAGTGATAAAAAAGATAACTATTTTATAATAGAAGATACTAAAACTTAAATATTTTTTAATAGATAAGTTCATTTTTTAAAAACAAATTGTTTATATAAATTAAAATAATATAAATAAATGTAAATTTAAAGTAAATAATATATCAAAATTTACAACTATTTAGATGTATTTTTCAAGTATTTATATGTCAATCCTCATGATTTATTTTTAATATAATGGTTGATCTTTTCTCTCTCTATATATAAACATGAACAGAGACAGAGTCATGCCTTAAGAATCAGGGGACCATTAATTATTTTTTTAAAATAAAAAAAAAATTTATATATATAATAACAGTTGGTGGTGAGAGGCAAATACAATAACAGAAGAGCGAAAAATCTTTATGGCAAATGCATTTTTTTAATAAAAGGAACTAGCACTGTTTTTTTTTGTTTTTTTATCTTTTTTATACTTTGTTTATATGAATGAAATTCATTTTTCACATTACTGTGATACATTGGCCTAAAATACATTTCTAAAATCTAACAGCAGCAGCAATTATATTATTATTTTTTTTTCGTGGGAGGAACATGGATTCTTGTGGTTGGATGAAACTAAAGAGGAGAGGATTATCATCATTATCATATATGATGAAGCAATATGCAACAGGTGCAAGCACTGTATGAATAGGAAGAGTTTTTTATG